CCGCCAAAGCATACGTCAATCGACCAAAGCGCAAATATCCACTTTTATTTGCTTGACATCAAATTTATTAAAACAATTATTTTTCGACCAGTACACACCCACGTGGGAACACATGATATTTCTACGGTTCATGTGATGAGCACTACTATATAACTAACGTAAGCTCGAAAATGTACGATTGTGAGAAATTACACGCCACGCCAGGAAGAGCATACCAATTCACAAATAACAACACACAAGAGAGAGAAAGCAACCGCGAGCGTGTACATATAAGTATATGTTATATATATATAGTGGCGAAAGAGGCACACGTCAATCATAATACATGACATATATTTATGCCTTCACATCTCGCGACGACAAACGCGATCGTCAAACGAGATTCTATCTTTCTCCCCATATTTTTTTTTCCTCTCCGTCGGGTCGACGATATTCTTCTTCCGTATCCATGTCCCCGAAGTGCCACCCTTATATAATAATAATCAGTGCGCTCGTGTCCACAAATTAAAACCAACGAGACTTGATTCACTCCCACTCACACAAATCACACTGGTATGGCTAATTGACTCGTGCGTGTCGTGATGTGGGCAATTTCCTTTCGAGTACATAATGTACAAATGAGAAGTGTTATATATATATATATATATATATATATATATAGAAGCCTTGCAAGTGCGCCAAAAAGGTGGGTGTTGCATCTCTCTCTCTCTCTCTCTCTCTCTCTTTTCCGAAGGTTAATTTTCCAGCCTTTACTCTCTCTCTCTTCCTCCCTCTGACTTTGTGTTGTGTGTGCGTGTATTGTGGATGCACTTGACAATTTGCTGGGAAAGACAAGATTTGAGAAGCCCCGGGAGTGCATAAGCCTAATTGCATGTGGTGCGAGATTCGTGTACGCAAATTAATAAGATATTATCTATGCCTGGAAGAGTTGTTTGGGGGAGGGGGGGGGGGCATCGACACTTTAATAATACGAGAGAAATGCGATTGGGAAAAATATAGTTTAAGTGTATTTTTCATTTTTCGTTGCAGTAATGGTTTTACCGTCAATACTGTCAAATCCAAGTGTATTTTAAGTACACGTTCAAAGCGTGCAGTAGAAAATTCGGTCTTTTTTTTTTTTTAAATGCATTACCACAGTGTTAATGAGCGTTTAAAGAACAACCAAATGAATGCTTCGTTAACTGTTTAGTATGTCTTATCAAGTTAACAATTTTTTTCTTCAACGATTGACAGGGTTGCGAGTATCTTTTGTAAGAAAATTTAAATTAAAAAGTCTAAATTCCGAGAAACTATATTTCACTCGATTTCACCGTATTTGACCTACGCCATTTCAGATATTCGACCTATCGTCAATTGGATCATCGATGACGAATTGCACTCGGAAAAAAATAATTCCATTCGCATCGAGTCGTTAATTTCAACAAGTGATAATTTGTGTTTTTTTACTTTTCTTTAAAAAGACACTCACTCGATTGACAGAAGACGAGGCTGTAGAGAGTGAAACAATTTTGCCACTGATTTTCCACACTTGTGTACGTGTTAAATCTGTGACAGCCAAGAGTTTTTTCACTCCACAGCTTTCCTACACTGGTTTTTTTTTTTTTACCATTCAACTGTGTCCCGCTTAGCAAAACTGGTTAACCACTTGTAACCATAGATATAGGTTGTTCTTCAAATTGTTATCAACACTACGTTAATGCATTGTATAAAAAAAAAACTCCCAAAATTTAAGCGCGCTTTAAACGTAAAGGTACGTTACATCACGTCACGAACACGAACAACCCGAAGGGCGTGGTTGTTGTACGTTTGTTTGTGCCAGAATCGCGTAAGTAACATTGTTTTTCTTATACCGAGGGCTGAAAGTGCAACTGTGCAGAAATAATTATTTTCGTACTTGGTGGCCCATCAGGCCCTTAGCCTACTGAAAAATAGTAGTTTTCGTTCAAAGAATCGCCATCGCCACTGGAAGGCTACTTTTCGGCCCACGGAGTATGTATGAAGCTAGTGTAGCCAAGTCGTAGAGCCATAATATAAAACCTACACCATATTTTTTTTTTCTAATTATTCGACTCGGCTACGCTAGGGTCATGGACACGCCCACGGGACCGTTCGACAGCACTTTGTGTGGCGAACATTATTTTTCCTACCCAGAGCGCAGTAAACGTCCGAAATTTCACGCAAAACGCCCCGAGGTAGGAATAAGCATTTTTATCTTTTCTGAGAACGCTAGTGTGAAATAAATTGCTTGTTTGAAAAGGAAAAAAGCGATACCATTTAAATTTAAGTGGTATACATATCGAGAAATTAAATCATAATCACAGTTTTTTTTGTTGCGCGTAACCAAACTCTCAGAGAATAAATTGTTAATAAAATGATGATTTGTGCAATTGTCTTCTAGAAAAATTTATGGTGAAAATAACATACAAAATGAACGTAAAAACAAGTATTCACACAGATTCACAAGTTTTTGCACGTATCTGTAATTTTAAGTTTTTTTTTTATAAAATGACAACAAGGTATAGAATACAAAAAAAAAAGAGGAGCAACTTTAACAAACAAAGCTTTATAGTTTTGATCGTCAACAGCTACAAATAATTTTTCTTGAAATCGCAATACGTAAATAAAACACAGAGCAGTAACGTCAAACCATTTGCTTTAATGAAAATCAATACGTAGTAGTAGTATGAAATACAGAAAAGATCCATCCTCTCTTTGTACGTACGTACGTACATACACGTGCACAAACATATTTGGCACTTGGCCATCAATGATCAATAAGTATTCGCGTCTCTCGAGACAGCCAGCCGGTCTAGTACCTACTCACAAATGAGAGTCACGAAGACGACACGCAGAGCAAAAAAAAAAAAAAAAAAAAGAGACATACACAAGTGGGCACTTTTCGAATTTAACCCGCGCGCCTGATTTGATTTTGCAGTGCAGCAGCAGGGGTTGCTTGGCTGGGATTGTTGCTCCCCCCCTTGAGTGTATACTTATATGTATTAAAAGTCTGTGTGTATCTGCAATAGTCATGTGTATTGTCGCAGAGAGAGAGAGAGAGAGACACAGCATTAAACGAAACTCGAGAGCGTCTCAATTGTGCACTGCCGCAATTTATATGTATGTGTATGTACATATGTATACAGTGGAGAGCCTACTGTGACAGTAGTATACTGTCTTTAAGAAGGGATACACACACGGGGGCCCTCGCGAAGGCAACAGTGGAATGGTCAAATGTCTGGTTCGAAATTCAGCATAGGCTAAATAAGGCACGTGTTTTACAATAGGTAGGTAAGTAGTTTTTAGATACAGGTTTTTTTACTTAAGTTTAAATCCGTTGGTAGGTAGCTTGCCGTAGGTACATTAATTTATAAATACGATGTTACAAGATGGTGATCGAAGGCCTTTTTTACATTTATTCATTTGTTTTTTCCAAATAAAAATACAATTTAGCTTAGCGATCTAGCATTATTAAAGCAATCCTTGGAACAGTTGTGTAATAAAGCAAACCATGAAGATCTCAAAATTCAAAGAAAATAACTTTTTTCCCCGATCACATGAATATGTGTAAATAAATAATTTGAGTGGATTAAAATGGTTTTTATTTTTTTGCATTTAATATTGAGGGTTTTTCAAATTCATTCATTCTTTTGCAAGAGAGTTTTCAGTCTGGGTGCCCCTATGTGTATATATACGCCTTATATATATAGTTAGGTTGAAACTCAGGCAACGCATCATCGTATACCAATTCCCATTTTGGGGGAGGTTTACGAGCATTATTTTCTCCCACGGGAGTTTTCCTGTACTTTGTCTCCTTCCCGTTCCCTATCCCAAGTTTTGAGTCCCTTAAATAGAATGTACACTACACTGTATATAATACAAGAAAAAATGTGAGCTTTCGTATTTCCTACTGCCATTTTATCGTTGTAGGGTTTGTTTAGAAACGTGACTTCCAAAGTAATTCGTATTTTTTTTCATGATTTACTTAAAATGCCTCGTTACAATTACACACGACAGACAGTCAAGGAAAGTAAGAATCACATTTCTTGTTTTAATTTTTTTTGTTGCAAAATATCAATTGATTGGTTTATTATTCCCCAGCAATCCGTCTGTGCATAAGCTACTTAAAAATATTTGTTATTACAAGTAGCTGAAGACATTCGGCGTTATATCATTCCACTCAGTTGCATAGATTCCTTTTTTTATTATATCATGTATATGTCATTGTAGGATGTAGGTGTGTGTTATATATATTATGTTCCCTCCGTTACTTCGTTTCTCGTCAATTGAAGACAATTTGGACGGATTACTTTTCTCCACTTTGCTGCAGCTGTACAGATTTGAAAGAATTCAATTAAAATGCCCTGCTGGAAAAAGATCCACGCATCCCTTGACTTTTTGGTATACGTGTGTCATTATTTAGCGAATCTCGATTGGCATGATTTAACTTTAAATAAATAAATAAATAAAAAAAAGAGTTTAGACATCGATTCATTACTCCCACGTGAATCACAAACCGGTGCGTCACTATGTGTAATAGTGTAAGATAAGAAAAAAAAAAAAAAAAAAAAAACCGGTTCCGTTAAGCTTCCTCTTTTTTTTTGTCTTGGCCGACGAATTATTTATCTCCGTAGAATATACAATAAGGAGTTTCAGAAGAAAGGGAGATTTCAACGTGCCCAAATTGTATGGGTTCACTGCACTCCTGACGATCGATACTTATGAAATCCAACTATTGGAGCCTCGTAAAAAAAACACAACGACTGTATTCTATTGAAAGATCCCGATACGGTTTATTTTTGTATCGGCTAGCTTGATAAAAGAAAGAGGGTCGACAAGCGGCGGGCTTTGAAGAGAAACACCCTCATATACATACTTAATATTATGTACTTACAAACGATCTCAAACACGTTACTCAGCTAGCAGTAAACACATCACGTGTAAACACCATAATCCGAAGCAGGTACAAAAATACGATGGATAACAAGGAAAACAGTACTCACTGATAGCGTGGGCGTGTCCTACGAAGCTTTCAGAGCAAAGGACGCCGAGAACGGCGACGAGGACGATCGGTAGTCCACCCTGGGACCGCCGCGTCGGCAAAAGTCCTCCTACTAACGTCATCTTCTTTCTCCTCCTGCGCCTCCTGATCCTTAGGTTCTCCTCCTCGGCACTCATATCCTACTCGCACTGACACACACGCGAAACAACAACAACAACACACCCACTCCGAATTTACAATTTGTTATTACTATTACTCTTCTTCACCTGTGATACCGCAATACACGAACGATTCGTATAAAAAAAAAACAACCATACACAAAACACACCACCTGCAGCTGACCCTTTTGAACACTACGTGAAGTACATAATAATAGTTATACACAGTTAGACTTGAAAAGCCAGTGCCGCTGCTGGTACCAGGACCTGAGCGCGGTGGCTGCTGCGGCAGGAGATCGGCACTGCGGCCTCGTGGTGGTAAATGGCGCGCGACTGAGCTGGAGGACTCCGAGGCATTTTACGACACGCTGTATATATCCCTCGGCTGCAGTCGGGGATGCAAGGACGACGAAGGTTTACAGTGTTAAAGTTTAAAACCCGCTATATGGCTCCGCGTCGGCAGCTTGGAATGTCGCGAGAGACACAGGGAGTCCAGCCGAACTTGTGCGAATATGTTGTAGGCCAGGCAATGTAAATATATGCGCGGGCAGGCTGCAGGTAAAAGGCGAAAGGAATATGGAAGGCTCGATCGCTGCGGCTGCTCTCCCTCTCTGTCTCACCTGGCCGAGTCCTACTTCTCTCTCTCTCTCTTGAATCGCGCACCGTGTGTGTTATTGTTATATCCTTGGATGCAAGTAAGAATCGCACTATGCTTTTATGCAACAGGTAAACCACAATTATATTCAGCACTGGTGAATTAATTCACGATAACTTAACTATTCAATTAAGTACATCGTATTTATGTATAGGTATGGTTTTAAACACTTTCACGGAGCACACGCTGTGAGCATTTGTAGGATCGGATCGTAGGAACAGCAACAGCAAACATCGCGCGCGCGAAGCGTTCTGATGGATGCACGCTCGGCTCGACCCGCGAACGAACAACGGCTCCTTTCGCTTTAGTTCGCCACGCCACCGTCACCACTGTATGCGTATGTGTAATGCAACAAATGCAAGTACAGCTCTTGCAGATCCCAACAGTAAAATTATAATAAAGTAAGATATCGCAGCTTCATTCATCACACGCTAGCTTTCAAACGTTATAAAATATATGGTGAAGTATATTTTTATTCATAATAATAATACAATCTGTTTGAAAAATCGGTTCGAGGATCGGGTCGTTACGTATTGGCTTTCATGGAAAATTACACAGCTATCAAACAATTAAACGATAGGTAAGTATTAGATACATTTCAGCTAACATAATTGGTAACACACCTTTTTATTTTGTTACTGTATATGAACAAATAAATGCCTTTTCATGGTTCCACCATGTGTACAATGAATGATAGGAGCAGCAGCAACCTGGATTTCAATATCATTCCACCATCAGTCATTATGGGATGAAATGGCCAAAAATGTGTATGCGTACTTAGCTCAATTAGAGAAAATATATAAAAACGAAATTTGGGGCGTTACTTACATACGCTGGATACATAGTACAAATTTTGCACGTTTCCTCCTTTGCATGTATAAAAAAAGAATGAAATGATATATTATTGATTTGAAAAAAAAAAAAAAAAAAAAATACGACCTGACCAGTAATCAGTACTAATTTATAGATGGAATACGCTTCAAAGTCGATGAAAAATAATTTTCAAGCTGTTCAATATGTAGTATATACAAGGAAAAAAGTGAGATGCGAGAGTACAGAAATAATTAACAAAATAGGAAGACGATTTTGATGTATTGCCTTTTATTAAAGCTGCATTCGGACCTTAATAGTCAATACGGTTTTTTAAAAAATTTTTTTTATACAATTATTATAACTTAAAAGAAGAATCCTAGGATTTTGCCTCCCAAATGTTTCCTCCTTGCTTCTTCGTGGTCCATAATACCTCCACTTGTAGTTAACACTACATACCTGTAATTAATAATAAAAATTCAATCAATACATTGAAGCTTTCCTTATAAATTACAGCAATAACTTTTATGAATCGAATTTCAATGTTTGTGTTAAAAACTATACAACATTTTAACCTTGTAAACTTTTCAGATAATTTGATAAAAGTTACAAAAATTGAGTTATAAATTTAACATTTGTTTTTGCAATGTTATGTATAAAAAGTAATTACTTAAATAGGAAATTTAAATGACAAGCTACGATTTAAGCATGGTTAAGATTACTTGTGGGTGTAAATGCATTATAATGATAGTTTTACACACCCAAACTGACGACTTGGAAGAAGATTGTTCGTCCACTTTTCAATGTCTGTGATGGGAACATCAAATCTAGGAGAGATGACCCCACATTTGTTTAGCCTTCCAGTAAGATTAACAACAACTTTTCCACTCCTGTGATCATCAACAATTTCAAATTCTCCAATATAACCTGAAAAACATTTATTCTTTCATAAAACTTTGCTATATGTGTTAAGAAATTTTAAAATGCATTTTATAAAAAATTTTGATGCCTACTTGAGGTAGTAAGTAAAAAATAAGGAATCGAAACATTAAAATACATAATTTTATGGTAAAATATTGGTGTTGTAGTGACTAAAAAACCAAATATTGATGTGCCATGTACGATGTAACAGCTTTATAATCATTAGCTTTATATGAAACTCTTTACAGTCCGAGATGGGTGATAAAACAAATTAACTAAATAACAATAAGACTAGTATTTAATTGACACATTCTATTGAAATTTAGAGAAAGCCATCAGGTGTAGCTGACAGAAAATTGCTCACCAAAACAACTTGTGCTAACTGACGTACAAGAAAAAAAAAAGTGGGTAACTGACAGTTAGAGTAAGTAAAAAACTCACCGTGCTTCATCATCACTGTGAGAAATTTGACGATGACTTTTGAGCAGGGACGAAGCAGAACTTGCCTCTTGCCTCGCTTCTCGGCATTGTTGATAGATTTGAGGGCATCACTGAGTACGTTCATTCGCACCATGGCTGTAGAAAACAAACAAAACTTGTTAATCGATTTTATAAACAATGCAGCTTCTATCGCTCGTACAACTTCATATTTTTTTTTTTCTTTTAAGGTAATGAACAAAACATTTCAGTAAGCAGCAACCACATAACCCAACTTGTCAGTTGATTTCGTGTAAAAGTGCACGTGTAAAAAATCAAAAGTGATTAATAAAACACCTGCCGCTAAAACAGCAATTGGCGAAATTAGTTGCACTTGAGGTAAGATTAATTAAAAATAAGTAAACAATTTGCGAGACTGGAACTTTTGCCGCTGGCAAGGTATAACCTTTAGGTATTGACAAATTAAAACCCTCACGTCGAACAAAAAAACACTTGAAAGAAAATAAACTTTGCACAACGTAAACTGAGTCTTGGTACTGTGGTTTTTGCGATAGTTTATCCCAGAAAATTGTTGATCTTGAGGATTACCTGCGATGAAAAGTTTATATTTGTCACAGCAACATACACACTCGGTAAAACTCGAGGTAAAAGAGCTTTTGTTGTATTGGTCTAGTGATTCTAGTGATCTCGAAAGGGGGCGTCAGTGTTGCCTGTTGCCCATATAATATAGAGTATAAGAAATACAGACTGTTCGTTCTTATTTCTTTTGTACGGTGTACGGGTACGGGCCATACAACTTGTGTGATACAAGTAGAAGGAGAAGGAGACACACCGATTCCTACATATGTATTAAAATACGTAACTTTACAGCCTCTGATTTTATCATTCTGGTAAAGAGAGCACGGTGTAAGATGTACGTGCAGTTATGTGTAGTAATTAAAGTAATTACTACTAAGTAATGCCATATGGTCGATTTTGTTAAACCATTTGAATATCTATATTTTTGGAGGTCAATTTTAAGGTAAAAGAAAAATAGTAAATTGCCGCAAATAGCACAAAAATAATAACTGTTTATTATCTATCTATTACATTAGTTGCGGCTGATTTATAATTGATTAAATGGCTCTTATTTAAGAAGTAATAATTATTTGGATCAGCGCCATCTAGCGGTCTTTATTTTTTGGCCAAAAGTGGCTCCTAAAATTCTAAAGCAGAGCATTCAGAATTAGTGCCATTTAGTCAATTATAAACCAGCCGCAACTCAGTTTATAGCTATAAAATGAAAAAATAATTCTATATATGTTTTTGGCGGCAAGTAAACAATCTATTTTCTACCAAAAAATTGACCTCATATGTGTTTGTACTTTTGAAGATAAATTTTCAAGCATAAGATGGATTGGTAACTTGCCGCCAAAAACACACATATCGTTATTTTTTTATTTTATAGCTTGGTCATAAGTTGCGGCTGGTTTGTAATAGGTTAAGTGTCTCTAAGCGCTAAAGCTCATCTTCAGAATTCTAGGGCCACTTTTTAGTTCAGAAATTCGCAACGCTAGATGACGCTGATCAAAAAAATTACTGCTTATACTTATTACAGTAGTGTCATTTAATCAATTATAAACCAGCCGCTACTACTGTTACAGATATAAAATCAAAATTCAACATTATTTGTGCTGTTTGCGGCAAGCTTGCAATCTATCTTTCACTCGAAATTACAAATATATAGGTCACTATTCAGGTATAAGATAAATTGCAAACTTGCCGCAAACAGCACAAATAGCGTTAACTTTTTATTTTACACGAACTCAATTAATTGCGGCTGGTTTATAATTGATTAAATAACACTACTGCAATAAGTGGTAATAATTTTTTTGATCAGCGCCATCTAGCGTTGCGAATTTCTGAACTAAAAAGTGGCCGTAGAATTCTGAAGATGAGCTTTAGCGCTTAGAGACACTTAGCCTATTACAAACCAGCCGCAACTCATATTGTAGCTATAAAATAAGAAAATAATCATACATGTGTTTTTAGCGGCAAGTTAACAATCCATCTTTTACTCGAAAATTTATCTTTAAAAGTATAAATACATATGAGGTCAATTTTTTGGTAGAAAATAGATTGTTTACTTGCCGCCAAAAACACATCTATAATTATTTTTTCGTTTTATAGCTATAAACTAAGTTGCGGCTGGTTTATAATTGACTAAATGGCTCTAATTCTGAATGCTCTAATTAAGAATTTTAGGAGCCACTTTTGGCCAAAAAATAAAGACCGCTAGATGGCGCTGATCAAAAATAATTATTGCTACTTACTGTAAAGTCACTTTATCAGTCATAAACCAGCCGCAACTGATTTAATAGATAGATAATAAAAAGTTGATGTGGTCTGTGCTGTTTGCGGCAAGTTTACAATTTATCTTTTACCTTAAAATCGACCTTCAAAAGAATGAATATTCTACTTATCTTATATGGCTCATAAAATCGACAATATTTGCAAAATTACAATACTCTTGACCTTTTACCATTAACTAATGAAAGAACAGCCCTTCAACTTTAGATTTCCAATAAACAGTTAACTTATACAATATGTACATGGCAAAATTTGTGTTACAGAAATCGTAAATCACGATCAAATATACACGAAAATTAATCAGTTGAAAAGAGACAACTGAAGAAAAAAGGTCTTAAAAAGAAGCAGCCACACGAAGAGTCACCTAGGAATGGAGCATCGGATCTAACTAATTGAAAAATACATTTATTACAGAGATGTAAATTTTAAGTGTTATAACGTTATAAGTAAACAAAGAACCCAACCTTCTCTGATCAAGTGAGATCCAATACTCGTCCTCTTCGTGTGACTGTGCTTCTTTTTCAGGCCTTTTTTCTTCGGTTGTCTCTTTTAGACTGATTAATTTGTGCTTACATGAGTTAATGGCAAAAGGTCTAGAGTATTTAAATTTTGTAAATATTGTCGATTTTATGAGCCATATAAGATTAGTAGAATATTCATACTTTTGAAGGTCGATTTTAAGGTAAAAGATAAATTGTAAACTTGCCGCAAACAGCACAGACTACGTCAAGTTTTCATTATCTATCTAATAAATGAATTGCGGCTGGTTTATAATTGATTAAATGGCTCTTATATAAGAAGAAGTAATAATTATTTGGATCAGCGCCATCTAGCGTTGCGAATTTCTGAACTAAAAAGTGGCCGTAGAATTCTGAAGATGAGCTTTAGCGCTTAGAGACACTTAGCCTATTA